AAGCGCTGTTCATGAAGGTGCAATTCCTGCGTCAGACCAGCCACTGGCGGATCTGAGAACACTCCGGGAACCCTGGCGAACTGGGAACCCAATGTGTGGAACCAGGAGATTCTGATGATCCCCTATTGGAAACTAGGGAACCATCATTCCAATAGGGAACCAGGATCTCCCTGAATCTGGAGCCAGGATCTCGGCCGAACGTTTGGGAACCTCCCTGCAGGACATCGACGATGAGCCGGACGCCGGACGTCTGACACAGCGGGACTACCCCGGCACTGCGGTCTCGACCTCTACCGGTAGGCCCACCGGTAGGACATCTCCGGGCATGAGGGATGTCTCTTCGTGCCGAACTTCTGTTCGAAGCGGACCGGATGGAGTTGAATCCTGGATGGATGGATACCGATGCACGTTCCATAGGCATTACATGTACGAGAGAGCTACTAGGAACCGACGCTACGAACGGGGCTCCTGGCATCGCTACGAACGGAGCGATCGGACGCTACTATACAGTCCGAGACGAGAGAGCCCGAGCCGCCCGCGCCCGCGTTGTCGTCGCTGAGGAGTCATGAGTCACGTTCACCCACGGTCCCGGGACCTTCTGAGGTGGGCCAGGAGCCCAGACGGGAGGAATGGGAAGTGGAAAACCTGCTGTTCCTATAGAGGAAAGGAATCCTCCTCTCGGGACCATCCCATCCACGTAACCATGTGATGTGTTTCGTTCGTCAGAGTCTAAGCGCCAGTCTCCACCCCTCGGCTTGGCTGGTCCTGCAGCTCCAAACGCGCTGAGCTTTCTCCAAGTGCTCTGCCTCTGCCTGAGCAGTCGTCACGACGCTGCATGGAGCATGTCACGACGTCTGCCGAGCGAGGTTCGGCTATGGCGGGTAGCCATGGGGTCCAGGTCCCTCCCTAGGATGGTCTTGCAGGTGAGTATACGTACTTCCAGTGGTCCTGCACCCTTAGGGCCTTAGGGAGCATCCCCACCGGTTGGCTCAACTGTCCCCAGCTGACTCACTCAGTGTCCCTGGATAGGCAGTTATATAATAAACCTTTATATGTCTTGCAGTTCTTATCCCAAAGGTTGAAGGCCAGGTGCTCCCTGGGTAGGCCTAAGCATCCTAAGCAACACCTGGTCGCCCAGCCAATGTGTCTCTGGTCGCCGAACCGGTCGCCGGACCAGGACGAAGACCACACGACGCTTTGGCTTGATACCTCAGGTGCCATTTGAAGTAGGAACTCCCGAAAAGCATCCAAAAGCATCCGAAAGCATGGAACATCGACCTTTCCACACGTTCCCATAGTGAAAACGACGGATTTCAGGCGCACCCATCAACATCATCAACTGACCCATTGGCCGGAGCAAACTCACAAAAGACTCCACCTGGAGTTCCAACTCCCGAGCGTGTGACCTGACTCCCAAATGCTTTCTGATCCCTACGAACATAGAGTGTTGAAGCGAACCTTTTCCACCTCTTCAGTAAGTCCCCAATCATCCTGCAGATTCCACGGGTTTCGTACTTCGGAATCCAAAAAGACTTGCACAAGCTGTGCACTGGACTTTCCCAGCATCATGAGCTTCAGATCCCATCCCCATCCCGCCTGCGCCAGTTCAGCCGCTTTCAAGCCACGCCGCTCGCGCTGCGCCGCCAAGGCCGCTGGCACCTGAGAAACCACCGCGGCCCGAGGCTGCGGAGCTGAGAGCTGTGACGGCGAAAGGCAACAAACTCCTGGACCCAACTTCAAGTCGGCACATGACTATGTTTGGACAAAAGCTGCTACGACATGGTACGACTGCACCATGTCGTATGGTGAGGTATGAAGCTGTCGACTCGAGATGGCTCGAGGAGTGTCCTTCCTGGAAACAAGCAATCCAAGTTTGTGCCAAACACCTACCCCACAACCTTCGAAATGAATCTAGTTGGAGCCCCCCAAAGAGGTCCTTTTGGAGGCTACGGGCTATGTAGGATGCATTGACGCAGCTCCATGAGCCACCCCGACAAACGCCTGGAACGAACCATGTTTGTTGCTTTTCTTCTTTTGCACCCCTTGAAAAGTGCAGGACACCTCACACCTCCAAATCAAACAGCTTTTACTTCTGGTTACGATTTCGTAACGATCCAAAGATTCAAGGATTCAAGGGAATGTCTTAATATATTAGGATGTCTTAGGTCTTACCTTTTTTGGTTACACACAAGCATACAATAGCATACACAAAATTACCAAAAGGCCAGGGGAACGATGAACCCAGACTGTTCCCCACCGCTCTTGAACCCAAACATTAATGATAGGAAGTTGGACCATATTTTGGATGGTTAGTGATCCAACATAGAGGTCACACAAAGATTCATATGTCATGGAAGCCCATGCCAGACAGATGAACAATTGCGCTAAACACAATAGTGGCCGGTCCTTCTCGGTGCCGGCCGCGTATCTTCCACATGTCCAGCCATCGAATGTGAGCGTATGGAAGAGCACTAGGGTTGGGACATGTTGGGACAACCTTCTTGAATGATTTTAACCTCGCTATGGCTAAGTCAGAACACAATGCTCTTCTATGCCTGTCTCTTGAAGGAGATGATCCATGGGCCCCCTTGGGATCTTGAGCCTCGGACCCTCGACCCCTCAAGCTCCACTCGATGAGGGCCCCGACCCCTCTTAACCACAGGGTTGCGGCCGGACCCCTCACTTCCAGGGCCGAACCCCTCCCAGACAGAACCCATTGATCCTCTGGGTAGGATATCATATATATATATATATACCTTGTATATACTGCCGAATGTGTATCTGTATGTCACTTCCACTGGGTTTGAGTCACCTATCGTGATGCCGCTACTGAGTTCAAACCCAAGCTGCTTCAAAGGCTTCTTCCGCCACCACCATGCCACCCGTCAGCGGCAGCATGTTCACAGCATCCTGGCAGTCTCGGGTATCATCCCACATGTCCCCGCCTGGTTCGAGTGTTTGACGACTCGCACCCCTGTGAACAAGGGGCTGCGGAAGCGGGGCGCCCCCTGTGAACATGCCACTGAACATTGAACAGGCCATCACAGATAGCCCAAAGTGATGATCTTTTACTCATCAGCTGGATTCAGCTGGTATATTGCACCAAGATGGTGGCTTCGTGAAAGCGACTTCGCTCAACAAGCTTCCACCCGAGTCACCATCAAATGTTCGATCGACACCTGTGAGCCTCTCACAGTCGGTGTACTGAGTTTGAGGTCATGGTTTATCGATTAGCAAGCAAGCTTTGCTTTCTGCTTTGTGCTGCTGTCATGGTGCATTGTTCATGGTGCATGTCCAAATGGATTCAGATGCTTTCCGCATCCAAACACCCCGCTTCCCCCATGGACAAGGCCGGCCTGCTATGCCCAGATATGACACCACATGAGCAGGTCCGGTCTGCTTTCAATCTCCAGCCCTGGGAGGATCCGGATCCACTGCCACAGGCCACCTCTTCAGAGGGTGGCAGTGATTCCCTAGGTTTGCTGACTGGATCTTGAGTGAATCCCACCAGCCAACTTCGGAGTAGGTTCCCAAGCAACTTCGGAATTCGTGGAGCCTACCAGGACCCTCCAAGGGGTGCCCAATGGAAGCTTATAGGTAGTGTGGGGTAGTCCATTGGACACCCCTTGGAGGGTCCAGGTATAGGAACAGTATGGAACAGTGTTTGTCGGGTTCGGACTTGTGACAATCCCACACTCGCCTGCCTGACAGTCTGGTCGACACACACGGGTACGTGTGACACGGTCCGATTCAGTGGAAGTCATGAATAGCGACGTTATGTGACTCAAAACACGCAAAACGCACGAAACGCACAAAGCCTTGAGTGGGGTGGTTGGTTCCCGCAAAAACACGTCTTGAAGGAAACCCTACATGGTCAAGGACCTCATTTGGACTAGGTCCGGGGCTTGCAAAACCAGTACTCAATGAGGTCAAGTGTCAAGGACCAGGTTTAACTTGGCTCGACTGGACTTGGGAAATGATGCCAATGAGGTGAAGGAACGAGCCGCTCCATGTTGGAAGGTATCTAGGATGTAGCAGGAGCAAACCTCAAGGGCTTCGGGGGGGGGGAGGGCGGAATGTTTTCGTCCCAAGCTCCGCCCATCTATCCCAGACACTCCATGTATTGCATATTTACATACATTGGGGTGGTTTCAGGGGTCAATGTAGGCATATATACTGTATACTGTATATATGTATACACCATGCATGGTCTCTAGAAGCCGCCCTTCTTTTCGCCGCGCCGTCGGAAACTTTTCGCCTGCACGTCGGAGGCAGCAAATCCCAGCCTGGCAATGGCATGGCTGAGCCCAGGGGTCCAAGTAGAAAGAACAAAAGGCTCTTTGGTGGTCCGCTGCCCAAGCAGCTTTGGTTGTCCCGTTGAAGGGCGCTGTGGTTTGGGATCCCTCTAACGACCCAACTTTTCTGAAAATACATCATGTGGGAACCCAACCACTCCATGTAGGATATGTGAAATGTGTGCCTACATTGGGTTGCTTTAGGGGGGTCCATGTGATACATACCTGCATTGCCTGCATGTATACTATATATACCCATGAAGTCTCTCGGGAATCGACTCTGTTCCATAGTCGATCGCGACATGTGTGAATCAGTAGTACCCGGACCTGACTTCGTTCGGACCCGAACGAAGATGGGACATGATCCAACCAAAAAAGGTACTAAAGCCCATAGACTCTGATGTACCTAGTACCTGGACCCTCTAAGGTACCCTAGCAAATGGGACACGACCCTAGAAAACAGGGGTTTCGAAGGGGTGCTATCCGGCGCCGTTGGGGTGCCCGGTCATGTCACATCCATGGCTCCTGGATGGAACGAGACACACCACCCAGGCCTCCATGTGACCCCTGGTGATGGACTCCTCTCCATGCAATCCTTCAGGCCAACTACCCTGAGACACCATGGATGTGGCTCTCTCAGCCTGGTGTACTCTTATCATCTCTTATTCAATTTCCAAGATCTTTCACAGGTCGACTCCAGCAGCCTCAGCCCTGCCTCAGCCTCAGCAGGTGCTGCCCCAGGGCATCGGGGCTCATCGGCCGCAGTAGTGCCTCCGACATGCCGAGGGCGGCGATGACCTGTCTTTGCAGGGTATAAAAAGTCCTTAAGCTTGGTAATTGGTAGCATACTGGTTCTTCAGGATTCGGCCTATTCAATTAATGGTGGACCACGAATCCTCGGATCTGGCTGTTGGGATGCTGTTGGATGGCGTCGTGGGTAGAGTTCTTGATCCTCTTGACCTAGCCAAACGCTCCAAACAGCCCGTGGTCCATCAAACCTCGAAATTTGAGACCCCAAACCCCTCCATATGAGGGACTGATCCTCCATATATATTGAAATTAAAGGACCAGGAGCGTCTGGTAGATTGAAACCTCTAGAAGCCATGACATGCTCTGCGCTTTGGCCTTCACCCCTGCACCATCCTGCACCGACAGCCCTCTCTTGCGTGCTGAAGCCCCACCTCGAGATCCTCCAAGGGCCCAGCGAAGTGTCGCAAGGCGCGCTGCAGCGCGCAGCGCAGGGATTGAGCTCGGAGGGATTTCCATTCCTCCTCTATACGCGTGTGGATGTGAAGGGGGCTGGTAGATCTGGCGGGCACAGCTGGTATACCTGGAGTCTCAGGTTGTACCTCCGAAAAAATGGGTACAAGTACAAGTAGCATGTTTTCAATAGAGTCATGAGTCATGTCCCATCTTTTAGGGTTGGGCAAAGAAATCTGGGATGGTCAGCCACCCACACAAGGAGAGTTCACTTTGGAGCTGCACGAATGCCATTGATATTAATTCAATGATTTCACCTGTTTGGGCAATTGTGGGAACCAACTTATGGCTGTAAATCTCCTGTTCAGGCTTGTTGCCAGATCCGAAACACCAACCTGGGGAACCGTTTCGAAAGGCTGTGACAGCTTTGAGGGCCCAACATAAGGTGCTGCATCCCCAATTCAACTCAAGTGCTGGAAAACGTTTTATATACCTGGACCCTCCTGTCGGGGTGTCCTGGCTGGACTACCCCACACTACCTATAGGCTTCCATTGGGCACCCCTTGGAGGGTCCTGGTATAATAAAAAAGAAACATCATCAGATACCTGGACCCTCCGACCTTCGGGGTGTCCTGGCTGGACTACCCCACACTACCGCACTAGGCTTCCAGACAGGGCACCCCGACAGGAGGGTCCTGGTACTGACGTTCGTCATCTGAACCCCTAGATCTAACGTGAAATCCGAAGATCTCCTGTGGAGTAAAGAGTTTTGCCACTGGTGTGTCCAGCCAAAGGAAGCGTGCTCTTCTTCGGCGCAAGCGCAACAGCTCTTCGAACCAATTCTGCCGCAAATGCAAAGGCACCTGGGCAAATGCAAGGGCACCAGGAGTTTGGCAGCACCATAAGAAAGTGCATCGCTACTAGTAACAAGTGAATTACTACATATTACTACTGTGGCAACAAGAAGCTACTATTGACAAGATGAACTAGTAACATGGTATGACATCATGCGACTTCCTAGCCTTGCCCTCCTATGCCCCGTCTCGTCACCATCCATTGCGGGTGCAGAGTGCGAGACGTCGTAGCTCCGTCGGTCATGCCAGCTACGTTCGTAGCTATGATAGCGAATGACCGGTCATAGCCAGTGACCTCCAAAGGAGACGAGGACCGTGACCTCATTTTCGGGGACGAGGACCGTTCAAGGATCGAAACGCCGCTCCAGGTGACCCTTGGAGGGTCCACCGCCACCTTCCCTCCCGATGGAAATACACACCCCAGGAGTTTCATGGAGTTGGATGCGGACTCCGAGGGCACCGCAGTGAGGTGCCTGATCACGTCACATCCACTGTGGATGTGACGACTAAAGACCACCCCGAGCTCTGTGACCCCTGGGCCTATGGATGTCCATGGATGTTTATGGGAACTCCGCTGGAGTCTCCCCCCCCCGGCCCCCGCTCCGGACCGAAACGCTCCCGCGCCTCATGGAGCTGCGCCTCCAAGGTCTCGAGTTCCACCTTGGTGAAGAACATCTCCTCGGCGACGGGCCGGTCTCCGCATGCGGAAAAAACCGAGAATCTCAGTTTGTTAGTCAATAGTGCTTAGAACTTATATAACATAGAACTATAGCAAAATGAGATTATCCGTAGAGTCAGATCTTATTCGATCATTATAATCTTAGAGCATCGAATTCTAAGTTTATAATGTATCCATGCTTTATCGATAGCTTGCGAATCCATCCCGCATTATAGAGCGCATAAAACGTGGCTTTAAGATATTTCATCCAAGTTCAATTCAATACACACCTTTAAGCTGATCTCTGTTAACAGGACAAACAGCGACTCTTGGTGGGATGAAATGGGGAAAATCCCAGAGCGACTCAGCCGTTGGAGAGTGAGATAGGTCATGGCTGCGCTCGGTCGTTGGACAGTGAGATGGGTGGCGTATGGTCGCGTCCGTTGCCGATCTACAAGCAACAGATCATTGATGACACACCGTAAGCACGAGAGATATGCTTCCAAACCATACATGGCATTTTGAGCCACGAACAGGACACAGGTCGACGTTCCAAGGACCAGGAACTACACGACGTTCCAAGGGGAACCAACTGAAGCCTGAGGGCCTGGTCGATGGGATTTCCAGGTGCTTTGGAGGTTGGGCACTCCAACGATCTCGCCAGGTCTCGCAGTTGAACAGCCGCACCAGTGACAGGAGCCTGCGCTGAAGTGAGTCCGATTTCTGGGGCGTCGTCTCACGACGAAGGCGGTCTCTCCCTCTCCGGGTCTGTCCAGGGGCCAATCATCTTGGTGTCCAAAACATTTGGGTAGTTCTATACCAGGACCCCAATAGAAGCCTATAGGTAATAGGTAGTGTGGGGTAGTCCATTGGACACCCCTTGGAGGGTCCAGGTATAAGTTCTATATCTAGTGGAACTACAGCGATGCCCTTTGTTACTGGTAGCTTCTTGCTACTAGTAGCCAATGGTGGATGATCCTCTTCAACCGAAGAGAAGTGGTTTTCTCCCGTTTCTCACAAGCCTGTCGATCTTCTCCTCACCACGCACGAAGCCAGCGGAGGCCTGGCGCTCAGGCTTCGGGTCGCTGGATGGCAGGTTCGGATCTGGACCCGACTGTGTACCCTGAGACACATGGAGCATGACCCCTATTGGATGAAACAGGATGAAACAGGTACTATCTGGTCCTCATGTTCTGGACTTTGAGATCAGTCTCAATAGTACAGGAGAAACCTTGAAATCTGAGTTGGGAACATGACCTTTGATCCAGATCTTCCTATAGAACAACATAACACAACTCTGTGACAAACATGAGCCAAAAAAACAGGAGGGTATTGCCCGCCTGTTCCTGCCGTTTTTGCCTTTGCATCTATAAACATCCAGCCAAGTTCGGACTTGGTGCTTCTTGACCCATGGTACACCTTCGGTTCCAGCCATATGGCACACAAGCCTCCATTCGGCCCGTCAACCCAGCGCCTCCAAGGGCCTTCCACCCAAGCTCCGGAGCGCGAAGCCCACATCACGCAGGGGCGAAGAAGAGCTACTGCTGCTGCGCGCCAGCCAACGCAGGGTCTCGGCCTGCTGCAATGGACACCAGGGCGGACACCAGGTCGAACACGTCGACCGTTTTAGATGCGGAAGACCCCCTGGCCCCAATGGGTTTTGGATGCGTTTGGTCATTTTTTGGGTCGATGTCCCTTCTTCCAGGGTGTCGAGCTGGGAGATCCCCTGACATGGAATGCACACCCGACATGGAGGAGGTCTTCCAGCAAAGGACACCGATTGCTTCGTTGTTGAGTAGATGGTTGATGTTGTTTGGGTGTTTGGGAAGTGTTCTGTTCGCCCTGTGATCTCCAACAAAGCAGCAAATACATCTATCTCCGTCTATCTCCAGCTACGAAAGTTCTGTACATCAAATACCATGAAATAATGATGTATTTGGTGAAGATCATAGTGAATTGATGGGTGTATAGGCAATCATGCCAGAATTTAATGGGGTCATGCCCCATTTTCCTTGGTACTTGAACTGGAGTCCACGTATGTCCACGTGCGGGTCCCCAGCGATTGTCTGTGCTTGTTTGGTCTTTGGGTCTCGGGATGAAAGACTTGGCGAGCTGGTCTGAGATTCTAAACTCTGATTCTCGTCCATCGCGATGCGAACTGTTTGATGGAACTATCAGCGATGCCGAGGCAACCATGTTTGTTTATCAGGATTCTCCCTAGGCAACAATGTGTTGATAGAACTTTCTGGAGAATTCCCACCATGCCTCAGGATGTTTTCTGAAGCAAAACGCACACAAAGCACATCACACATCCACAAAATACGTCGCAGTTTGCTTATATATGAGCTATAGGAGCAATACCTTCACCCATCTGGATATCAGCCTTTGCGCCGTCTCGCAACGCAACGAACCCGCCCTACGGGTAGGACTCGAAACCGGGGATGGGACCCACCTGGAGCTAGGTCCACCAAGAGCCGGCAACACGTTCGTTGCGACAGGGCTCGAAGATTGGACTCGAAGATGGCGACCTGTTTTGGCCCCAGGATGCGGCCTTTCACCCAATAAAAAGTAAATACGTAACACATACCAGCACCCTCCTGGCCAGGTGTTTCCTGGTGACCATTTCGGTGCCCGGGTTCACCACCTCTTAGTCTCCCAAACCAGCCTGTTGGAGGGTCCTAAAAACAGCCTGTTGGCCGTCATGTTGCATCTTTTTGGGCTCCAAACCGCCACTTCACCCTGATGGAGGGGCCATAGTGCTGCCTCCATGACTCACTGTGAGGTGATCCTCCTCTCAGCCTGCCACGACCATGTCCTATAGGAGCAATGCCCATAATCCGAAGCAGAAATTGAATGACATTCCGCTTCCACGTGTGTCAATTTCGATGCATTGAAAGTCTGCGTCCATGCATGCGCAAGCCTGAAAACTTGTTCATAGGTTGTGTACCTAGATCCATAGACTGTCGCTTACCTCTGTACAGTGGATAGACTGCTTATACATACTTATACCATAAACGACTCCCTGATGCCCAAAGAAACTGAAGGATCGTGGGAAGCGCTCGGCCACGAAGACCAGCGAGACTGGCCCGGCCGCTCGTGTCCGGGAGAGTCTCCTGGTTGTGACATAGGAGGCCATCGCTATTGGGTGGGAGGCCATCGCTACCACCCTAGGGATTCAAGTACCTTCTGAGAAGGTACTTGGATCCCCAGGGCTAGTAACACTAAGCTACTTATAGTAGCTACGTAGAAGCACGCAGAATCGGCGTGCGGCTTCTTCGCCTCAGCCAAGGTGACCAGCACCAGGTAGCGATGCCCCTCATCACTTCCTGTGCGGGGCAACACTCTCCGGACCTGCAAACCTTCGCGCAACGCGAGCTTCGGACCTTAGGGGTGGGTGGGATGGATGTGGGGGAACCTGGATGTGGGCCAGGAGCCGGTTCAGGGACGGTTGAACCGTGTTAGGGGACCTATGGAAAAAAAAAACAAAAAACAAAGCGAGGGAACTAAACAGTTGCCATGGGCCCATGGGTGAAAAAATACGAACAACATATTTGAACATCAGGTCAACCTGGGTGCTGTCTGACTTGTCGACAAGCTTGCTGTCTCAGTCACCATCTTTGGCCCTTTCTTCCAAACGGATGTGTAGTGTAGATATGACTGTGGGTCAAAACGGGAAGCACCCCGGTTGACCACGGAAGACTTCAGGCGGTCTCTGAGTGTGTTGTCTTGCTGGAACGAGCAAAAGAAACCTGTAGAGCGCAGCAGGCTTGCAAATGCCGAAGCCACACACCAGGGCCATGATTCAAGCCGCTCGTATTGATCGGTGCGGTGTCGGAATGCTCTTGTGGAAAGGCACTTCTATCTCACCATGCAGAATAGGCTCATTGGATTTGAGTGTTCGCAACCTGTTGATAAGGGCGTGCATCAGGATGACAAGCTGAATATTGATCACTAATTCAGATCCCTACAGGATCCTCTGTTGACGCCTCGCGGGATGCCAACATGACTGATTGTTCATATGTCTGAATGTTTTAGTCTTAGTGCTGAAGAACCAAAGGACACAGGTCTTACTTATATAATACATCGGAGTACCTAAGTGACGTGGAATATTCAGAGTCTAATAGAGACTGTTTTAGTGAGGAGGTCTCATACTCCGAACTTGGCTCTTCTTGAGACAACAGTTTCCATGATCTTGGCGCGCACATCCTGGCAAACATACCCCATTCCACTAGAGTTAGTGCATTGGCCACGTTCTCCCACAGGATTCTTTGGTCGGCTCTCTTCCATACTTTTCGAAGATCAGCTGACTTACCTGGAGTCGACCTGTTCGTACCTCGGACAATAGGGGAAAAGCCTCGTAGCTGTTGCGTGTCCCATGTTCTAAGCTACAAAACCAAGAATGTCGGCACCCCACAGCCGTACCCGATTCGTGCCGTTCGCACCAATCGAAAATGAGACATTGACCCAAAACCAACATTGAATATGCTGGGAGTCGAGACAACGAAGTCACAGGTCAACTCCAGATCAAGACCCGTGAGGATTGACACAGATGGAGATTCCTCAAATCCTGGATGGGAGGACGCTGCCTGGAAAGGAAGACCTTTCTCCTCCACCGGTCTACGTCCACTGCCTAGAAACACCACGTTACCAGTCCATGTCCGTCGCGTCCTTCGACTCTCGGGAACCGACCGTCCGACCGCTCCCGTGTCCGACTCTCGGAACCGACCGTGATCGACAGCGACAGTGGTCATCCGGTCCTGCCAACTCTTCGGGCGTCAAGGGTTCAGTGCGAATGGACTCCTGGGAAACGTCGAACGATGTCGAACGATGGGACTCCTGGGACGAGATGAAACACGACGGCGTGAGGCGTTTCGGAGTGACTGAGGTTGGTGGAGAACATCGGGGGACGGTGGACCAGGCGGCAGAGTGGAAGGTGATGGAAGCCCCCCTGCTTTAGGAGTGGTAAACTGGACACACCAATCACCTCTTTTTGGGCTATTAGCAAACATTCATAGACACCCAAGCAGGGGGATCTGGTTGGATTCTAGTGGGGTTTCACCAATTCCCTAAATTAAATGTATTTTGCGGTTCATCCACTTATCCTGGGTATGTCGACAGGAGATGTGCTTGTTTTGTCCCCAATATTGATCCTTGGGTTTCAACGTGGCTATATGTGGCTCAAAACACTATGGAATGGTCTTCAGAAAATGGTCTTCCCCTATGGGTCAATTCTCCGGGTCCATGCTCTGTACAATCGTTATATCGTCTGCAGGGGTGTAAGTTGAGTGCCTTGCAAAGGTCTTCAGGTGGTCTTACAGATTTCGTGCACTTTGCTGTGTAAACACTGTGGATGAGCCTCTCTTCAGCAAGTCTATGGTGCCTTCGTCATTGACTTCCATTGGCCACAAAGAAGGGTCAAGCTAGAGAAGTATATTATAATTCATATTCCAGTATGCAACAAGAATATCCACAGCCTATACCTGGACCCTCCAGAGAACCCTGGACATGACGCTAAAAACAACAGGCACTTGCAATGCACTTGTACAAATTTCCGAGGTACCTTGAGACTCCAGGTACGGTTCAGGGCGTGTTACATTCCGAAGCCAAAAACAATCACATCAACAGCAATTTCAGGACCATGCTGCCACTGCTGTCTAGAATGAAAGGAGCTGGTGGATGCATTCATTTGGACAACACCAACTTTGATCATGAGCCATGTGTAAGATTGAATGCTATTCAGCTTTATGGTGTACACATGTTTGTCAAACGGTTTTATGACATGTGTCAACAAGACACAGCAAGGCACAAGGCCCATGCACAAGGCACAAGGCCCAACCTCTTGGTAACCTCTACCCTCCAAATCCCTCCAAGTATCTTAGACATTGGGGGTCATGATAGGGGGTCGTCAAACGTTGGAGGATCCAACCCAGTTTTGCAGAACATCCCACCTTGGCTTTCATCAGGGCTTTCATCGCTGCCTCCGTTGGTGCTACACCTGCCAGGCAGGGCTCTGTGGGGGAAACACACGCAAACCCACCCGGAAACGTGGTATCTGAGATGAGGACAGGTTCGTTCGCTACTTCAGAGAAAGTCTGCTTACCCCAGCCCCAACTTGTGCGAACTTTGGACGTATGATGACGTATGGCACAACTTTGTGTAGTATTTTTCAGGTACCTTGGAACATGGAGGTGACCGAAAGAAGACATGGGATGAAATTGCTACAAGCATGTATCAAGGTACTACTTCTCCGTGCTCACCTGGTGTACTTTCATGTCCAGAATTTTGTGTGTTTCCAGTGAAGCTGAACAACCCAAAACCCGGATTGCAAGGTTTGTGTCAGTTCTGGGTATATACACTCCCTGCTCACAATGGCCAACATGTCCCTTTTGCAGAAAAACACCTTCCAAATCCATCCTGTTAGGGCGATTCATGCTCAGCATACATGATGCATGCTGCATGCATATACCAAGACCCACTGTCGGGTGGAAATCCCTTAACGTCAGGGGCTTTGAATAGACACCCTTAGTTGCTCTTGGTATATGACATTCGGCCCAACTTGAGGCACCTCAGAACGTCCTTCGGCACATGCACCGGTGCGGCCGCAGTTCCATGTCACGGTGCAGCCCACGGAGGATTCGAGGTGACCTGGTCTCACATTGATGGGACGAAAAGTCCTTCGATGGAACTGATGGTCCCTCCCCTCTCTCTCTCTGACTTGATACCCAATCTTTCGGAAACCGCCCTTTTGGACGCCTGTCTGCTGCAACTCTTCGAAGATGCGACGTACCCGCTTCTGCATCCCACGCTTCTGCCGCGCCTTGGTCGAACACGTGTCGACCCAGCGGCCATTCGTCGGTCGGTCATCGTAGCGGTGGACAACACAAACAAGCAAGTAGGCAGAGTCTACTCGAGCGGTTCATAATTGTTCAAGTCTAAGATTACACTTGTTGGCAAATGATGTTGGTATATAAGCTATACAGTGTATACCTGGACCCTCCAAGGGGTGTCCAATGGACTACCCCACACTACCTATAGGCTTCCATTGGGCACCCCTTGGAGGGTCCTGGTATACAGTATATATGTAGTACCTGTCTACTTGGCAGAGTCTATGGTAGCAAGTCGGCAAGTCGGCAAGTCTTAGCTGTTTTTTTTTCCGATCATGTCCCATGTTCGTTCGGGAATGAACGAAGTCAGGTCCAGGAGTCACCATTTACCATATGTCCCCAAGGAACCTTCTACATTCGGCATGTGATTTGAACATCTTTGAAGGCCGATTTGAGATACACCCGGGAAGAGACCCGCATTGTTCACCTGAAATTCATGGACCAGACTGGAAGATGTCGTACAAACCATGTGGGTTTCGACCCAGGGCCCGATCAACATCCCTTTTCAATCCGTTTCAGATCGTCCCCACCTGAGAGATCTCCGGGTGCCACTCCAGCAAGACGCTGGCCGTCTTCAAGCGTCTCTCCCCGAGGCCTGCCCCGCTCCGTGGGGCCCAGGGACAAACGAAGTCGATTCGGAAGGTGTGGAAAGAGAAAACAGAGATGTGCTGGAAATAGAAATTGCTTCCAAGTGGTGAACGACTTATAAAAGTCTACGAACGAGTAGGAAGGAAAACCACCTGGGAGGGTAGTGGAGCCAGTGAAGCCGGCCAGTGGAGCCAGTGGTGATCCAATGACGTTGCTCACTTGATCTTCCGTATGACGCCATTGAGTGAGGTCCTTCTGGCAACTTCAGTCTCGTCCAACATGTGGGGATATGTGGGGCATGGCGACCTGTTGGGAAAGCGAAACATCTTTAAGCACAGCAGCCAGCAGTCGTGAGGAGAAACCCCACTAGACTCACAAGGGACGTCGGCGTCCTTCCATCCGAGAACCTCCAAGTCGTTGTTTGAGAAAGCCTATGATCTCTCAACCAGCTCCACAGTGGCATTTTCTTCCGGTCTTTCTGTTTGCCACAATTTGCCACCCAAAACGACCAGCAACGTCGGGCCTGCCAACCAAACGATTTCACCCCTCGCGGACGTCCAGCATCCCCAGACCTTTTTCCACTCCCGAGCGGTTTACCTGGAAGTCCAAGGTTTAAACCGTTTACCCATCTTTCTCCACCTTTGTCCCTTCGCCTTTCGTTCGACTTGATACATTGTTCTTGAAAAGCTTGCCAGGATGTGACTATAAATCAAACACCAAAAGTGTTGACAACCATTTGACAAGACTATTTACTATGTTGGGTAAGAACCATCTAAATATATGGCCGTTGGAATTCTATTTCTAGTGGGGAAACCAATCCTGTGAGTACCAGAACTCCTCGGCAGCTCCAAGACTCTCAGGAGCGTCCAAATCGATGACTATTTAAGCAGGGGCGGCTTCAGACTGAAATTCCATGGCTTATCCCTAGAGCTCGAACAATTGCTACCAGTCCAAGAACCAATTAAAACCAATTAGCTTGACATCATCGAGCACTGTTTTTGCATCACACGACCGTCCAGTGAAATGGGGTCCAAAAGACCTGTAGGGATCTCCAACCACATCGAACGTAGGGATTGAACAAGCCCCGCCGCCGGTGAACCAAAACGGAGCTAGGCCAGCCCGATGGCTTGACTGGACTTGCATCTTCCAGCCGTTTTTGGGATCCAAAGGTCGAATGTGAGGGAAGACACATGTCTTTCCACCGAAGATATAGACAGAATCAATGACCAGGAAGGTCAGCCTACCAGGCTTGGGAGCTGGTTTTGATCCACAGCCATTACCGTGACATCAATCTGCATGCCCGGATGTCCACCGCCTACCCAACTGGGACGGAAGAAGTTGTCGCTCAGCCTCGAGTGGATGGGAGTTGATTTGTGGAAGTAACGACAGGAAAATGAGTACTACAACACCAGGACCTTCCAAGTCCGGTGGTTTTTGGACACCTCTTGACCTCTAAGAGGCTATTTATAGATACCTCTCAGAAGGTCCTGGTACCTGTTTTTGAAAGGGTGGGTGCCATTCTCTGAGGCAATTTGGAGGTCCATGTACAGTCCTACGTTACCGGTGGCACCAGATGTTGACATTCGTCAATAAGTTACAAGAGTTATTTTTTTGTCAGCATCCACAGCACGATGCTCTACACATCTCTACACATACTGGTGAACTGGCTGCTGGAAGTTACATAACGATACGGAACGACAAAGCATATGGTCCCTTAATGAAATACGAGTAGATATGAATGCAAAAAACAAGGCAATTATAATATATCAATACCTGGACCCTCCAACAGGACATTTGCATCACAATATAAGTATAAAAACAAAAACACATATATTGACCGCCCCATCCAGTGGCCCTTGGCCCTTGCCACATGGATGCACGCGCTTCACATCGAAAGACACCTTCTCCAAGGTGCCAAAGCTCATCATCCAAAGGCAGCTGTGGCTGCTCTGGCCGCGCACGAAAGTGGCACAACCGGTAGAAGGGCCGTTCGCCCTGCGGTGCGTTTGGCAGAATCCCTTCATCCAGTGGACGTCGTCTGTATTCGACCGAAAGCTGATACTGACTGTTTATTTCTTTCCGGACTCCATCTACTTTATGGAGGATGATTAGATGGCTGGTTGAGGAACACTTTGGGCTCAGTATATTGCCACAACCTTCAAGTGAACCCCCGAACCACGATCAACAACAAGGCTTTTTGGCACGAAAGACTGCCCTGCCAATGATGGCTTGGAAACCGATTCTGCCTACGTGATGACTGCCCAAGGCCCAAGCGGCCCAAGCGTCTGCACGAGAGCACGCGGACCAACAGCTGGTCCAATTCACGAACTGATGGAAGCGATTGACAATCAAAACAGCACAAATGCAGCACAGCAAACATCCACTGCCCGAAGCAGCATCTTTCTGTCCCCCAGGTCTGAGTCCATTTCTGATCGAATTTTGCGTCGCCAGAGTTTCTGTGCTTGCGCTTCACTAGCTTTCCCCGCCCTTTCCTGAAAAGGCCTTTCGAACTCGACCCCCCCCCAGCAGTCTGCCAAAGGATACGAGTATCTGGACCCGACTTCAAGAACCCGTGACCAACGACTGGGGCCATTTTCGGTATGAAACTCCAGATATCTGGGAGTCCAACAGTGGCCGGAGTGGAAAACGGCTTCTTGTTCTGAGTCAATGGTTGTGCCAGATCTTCCACCTCTGAGGGTTGAGAGGCTTTGCTAATGACTCTGGATTAATGGACCCCCCACACGAAGAGGTTTGAATATGGCGTTACAATCCATGTCTTGGAGGGTGGTCATTCATCGAATTCCACATAACAAACCATGTTCTTTCCTACCTCCGGCCTCACCCTCCTCCTTTGGCGCATCGGACAACACTTGAGCTCGCCATGGATTGGCTTGCCTCGAGCTCTGTTCCATGACCCGACTCAAGAGAGCCAGACGGACGGCGTGACTCACCAAACCGGATCCATTTCGGGTCCATTTGGGTCTGAATTTTGGATCCGCAAAGAGGATGACATACCCCTAGGGCTCCAATAACCACCTCCTGAGGTTCGGTGGTTGGGGTGGGTGCCAGGGGGGTCTAACCACCTTCTGAAGATATGGTTGGAGCCCTAGGGTACTAGAAGTGATGGCCTCCAAGTTACTAGCGATGGCCTCCGGAAGCGAGACAAAGTTGGCAATCTGAACTTTGGATCTGCATCTTGGCGTAGACATGTGAACTTCACCCCAAGTACCGCACAGCTTTTGAAGGACACATTTGGAGGTAGAGTGGAAACTGGGTCGACAAAGCATTTCTGGGGTGGTAACAAACCGGAGACTTCAGGCAGATCTAGCTCATGTTGGTCGATATTCAGCTTCCGCAAGCAGATTCGTGATCATCCATTTGCTTCAGAGAATCAAGTGGCTTCAGAGAAAGTAAAGCCAAAGTGCTGGGTTCTACCAATCACAAGCAAACTCGAAATGTTTAGTTTACTGTTCTCTGGCTTGTGACCCCTTCTGATCCTTCTGCCAAATCACTCATCATCGCGCGTGAAGGCGTTCTCTTGCTCCTCCTCCTGGCACATGGGGATCTTGATGACATTGCCATCTGTTCAGAGTTCAGAGGAGGATTTATCCCAAACACTCCATGTAACAGTTACATACATGTACCGGATTTACGAGCCCCAATGTAAGTATACAACTAGCTATATTCCATAGTGTTTGGGTATGAACCACTCCGCCCACTGGACTCTCAACTGATGAGACATGACATGGTCAGCACCAGAGGCTTAAGTAATGGTCGTCCGCACCTTCCTTCACACACCGAGTTTGCGTGTTTTTTTCTTAGCAAACGTGTCAGTTGCGTCAAGTTGATGGAGCGTTGAGGTGGAACAGGAAGGAACTGGGTTTAGACGCCACCCCTCACGCACTGGTTCGCATGTCCATGTTCCACCTATTCCAGGATGTTCAGAACATATAGATAGTCTAATTACATTATATTACTCAATCAAACTGGATCCACAGTGCCATCCCATTGAGGGGAGGCTGTTGGCTTTGGTGGGTTTGGTCACTTGGAAAAAACACAAGCCCAACAAGAGCAGGGATCCCAAAACCTTCCAGTTCTTTCCAAATATCACCGTCATCCGGTGAACGATCCTATGAAACAAACGAGACACGACGAAGGAAACGTGGAATCATCATGGTGGCCGTCCGTAGATGGCATGGCCGCCGCTGAACGACTCGGATGACCATTGTCCTCATAACCCCTAGGGCTCCAACCACCTCCTGAGAAGGTGGTTGGGGTGGGTTTGGGGGGTCTAACCACCTTCTGAGGATATGGTTGGAGCCCTAGGGAACCTAAACAAGTGCTTTTCCACTTCAGAGAGTGCTGGATTCCTTTTGCGAACGGATGGAAAGGTGTGCCCTGGCCCCGTTCTAGCCCTTAGTTCAACATGAAGCTCGCGCGCTAAAGCTCCTTTTTACCTGGTTGGGCACTTGAGCCAAAAGTATATGGCATGTACCTGTATAGCGACTATACTGGGACCTCATCCCTATTGACACCCCCCACATCCGTACTTCGACGGGGAAGGGAGATGAGTGGATGTAAAAACCGGAGAACGAATCGTGTTCTCAAAAGTGTATTGGAGGTCAACCAGTATGTCCTATTGAATTGAATTAGCAAAAGATTTTGCATTCGCTTGAAAGTTGGATCAAACAGGTAATGGAGCTACCAGCGGAAAACGTGCACCTACCTATGGTATCATGCGATTACCAACGGTGTGAAACACAATCCTCTCTCACTCCCATGATGCCAAAACGGTCATCATGAATTACCCAAGATCCCTCAGTACTTGAAGTACCGGAAGTGGGATGTCGGTATGACCCCAATGCTCAACCATTCGTGAGTTGTCGCATGTAGTCAGCGCCGACAAAGCCAATGTAGTCCTTGATGAGCTCAACGTTCCTTGGGTTTCCCCTTCGGATCTGCTCCTCGAAGGACTTCAATTTCTGTGCTTGAATAGCGGATACCTCTATGCCATAATAGCGGCATGCAACGAGGATCTCCTTCGTGACATTCTTCCTCTCCGATTTGATGGCGGGGCTAATGTCGATGAATTTGTATGGAGCGGCACTTTCGTCATCTGGTTTCTGGTAGTAACTATACCGGCTCGCTCCGAAGGTCTTCCTGATCAAGCGTCTGATGAAATTTGAGATGAATGCCAGTTTCTCGATGATCTCATCCTGGGTCTCAGACTTTCGAGCCTTTGGATCACTCATGTTACGCCGAGTGCTGCCGACCTCTTTGAGGTACTTGTGGCTAAGCCCGCAGCGGATTGCAGTGATCATCATCGGGTGAACAACGTGGGCGTGGAATTCATAGATCTGCCATGCTTCTGCTGCATACACGTCGTCGGTCCATCTGCTCATGCCTACGACCTCGGCTCTCTGGAGACGTCTTGGAAACCCAGTATCCGGATCATTCGGTACTATCGGCCATCTATTGTGCGGAGTGTCATGCCGCTGTCCATCGTCGAACATTCGCAGTACATCTTCACGACTTTCAAAGCAGTTGATGTCGAACGTTGCGTTGGCCAAGCTCTTGATCAACTTCATCAACCTCAGATCAAATTGCTGTGTGACGGCAAAGTTGTGGTCGATGGGGATCGCAGCTTCTTGCGGCAATTCGTCAATTGCGAAGGGGAAAGGCTGCGGAAGTTCATTCCCGTATCCATCTTGAGGGACCTCCCGATATTCGGGTTCGCCTTCAGCTTCGTCCGGTCGTTCCTTCAAAATGATAGGAACTTCCTCGTCTTCCTCTCCTTCGGATTCCTCGATCTCAATGACCTCTTCGGCTGTCTTGCGTGCGTTCTTGATGACTTCATCGATGTTTGCACCTGCAGCAGAAGTTGTTTCACCTGAAGAACTGGCTGGGACATCTTTCGGTGGTGACCGTTGATTGCGGTCCCTTGTCTCCTTGGGTACCACATGCGTGAGCTTCCCATTCGCGATCAAAACCGCTACGCAGTGCGGACATATCGTCAATCGCACATCGACTTCGCCAAGACAGTTGGGACACGGTCTTGAGTCATAGTCTTTCATTGCTCGGCGGTACACGATCTCCTCAAAGATCTCCTGCCACTCGGTGCTATCATATTCTGGGTAAACACCACTCTCCTCGATCATACCCAACAGCTTTGAGATTTTGGCGTCGTCCTCGGAGTAGGTATCGTCCTGAACCTCAACCGCTAAACTCTCAAGCTTTTGAAAGCGTGGAATCATGATCGGGTTTCCGTATTTGGACTCCAGAACAAGGTAGCTTCCAGGGTCGGGTTCTCCATTGAGTAACCGGATCCATTCGATCTCCTCAGGCTGTCCGGGTTCCGCATTGTCGCATTGCAACCATGCCCCTTTAACCTCATCGAAGGGAACGACGTTCTCAACCAATAGAGAGCCAGTCGCTGAGATGAGAAGTCCGTACTCCTGCAGCTTCCACACCGGAATGTAGAGAACCACCGGGCGATCACTCAATGCGACCTTGCGACCCAGCCAAGGTTTTCCCTTGTAGCCCTGCTCCCAGGCCCATGGCGGAAAACATGTGAAGTGGATAGAATCCCTTTCCGATGAACCGAGACCTCCTGGCACTAGCCCTCGTCGCATGATTGAAGTCAGCGCTCCGAGATTGGTAGCGTGAAATGCAGTCACCATCGATAGGGCCATGTCGTTGGTCATTCTCGATCCAATGTGGTCGATGTTAATGGTAACGTCATAACCTCCGCCGTCCGTTGAGTGTGCCGAGGTTGCTCTTACGGCCACGGGAAAGCACCATCCGTCGCTATGGTGGAGTCTTCCTTTGGAGATTCCCATGTCCTTGAGATCGTCAATCCATTCCTTCTCCATCGGGTCATCAGGCTCATTGAGTTCATCAGGGTGAACGCGGACTGCCAACATTTGGAATCTGACCCTCTTGGTTATGCGGAAACACTCATAGTTCTGGTCGAAGTACTTCTCCAAACGCGCCTTCTTGGTCACGATATCTATGTTGCCATGGTGATAACCGTCTTCCCAAACTGCGTTATCACCTAACAGGTCTTCCCATGACACCCATGCGCCTTCATCGCATTTGATTGGTGCGAGTCTTCCTCCTGTTTTGAACTGGCGTCCAATTCGATGTCTCAACTTCGCTCCCAATCGACGACTCAAGGCCTGGCTCGCTTGGCTGTATTCAGGTACTCGACAGTCTGGAGTCGGATACTTGTGGTTGCCGTAGTCGGAGTTCTTTGCAGCGAAAGTGACTCCGTTGATCGGTACTAGTTCAACTTTCCCGATCATCGTCATGGGGTCGATCGGCTTGTATCCCTTCTCCCTCCGTGTTGGTAGGGGATAGAAGTGATGACAGGCCTTTGGTGTGAGGGAACTGGAGTGCACAAATGCCTTCTCTACAAATTCGTACACTACTTTCATATCCCTAGGGCCTGCTTCCGCAAGCTTCCGCCCATTGTAGGAATGTGGCCCTCCTTCGACTCCATCAGCACTTTCGATCAAGGTGAATCCGTCATGATCGAACATGGTCACGACTCTTGCTTTTAGCATTTCTTTACGCTTGAACTCGCTGTCGACCTTTCTTTCCGGTGTAGGCGATGCTCTCTGCTTCTTCTTCTTAGGTTCCTCGGTTGGATGTCCAGATGGTACATCGTCGGGCGCAACCTCTCCCTTCACTCTCTTCTTCCAATCACTCAATACCGAGGTGACTGAAGGCGAAGATGAAAGGGTCTTCTTGCAACTGAGAGTTGTATGTCCCGACTCCATGCAGTGGATGCAGAATTCTGCCTGCCCGATCTTCCTCTCAAATTCGTCGATGGCTTGCAGTATTGATGTCTTCGGGTCGGACATGTCAACATCTTGCTCTTCCTTCTCCTGTCCACATTCAGTCTCCATATCGACACCTTCGGCCTCGGGCTGGTCAGTGGCTTCTGTTCCCTGTTCTGGTTCTTTCCCGATTTCGAAGAAGTGGTCGATGTCGAATTCAGGAGGCGGCATGGTCCTCATGCGCACGAGAATCAGCGCCACGTTCGCCGCCTCATCAGAGTGCGGGTCCATGGTTCTAATCATCGATCGCTTTCGGTTCTCATACGTTGTCCTGTCGTACAGCGATGCAGTGACGCGTTTGATGGATTCCTCTAATCCCGTCCTCAAAGCTTCGATGTCACCCCATCCCCTGAACAGGTGTCTGAAGAGTTGAGCAATTTCGAACATGCCCAGCAACGCCTCCACCATGTCACCTACCCGTTCCTCTGTGGGATCATTTCCGAATATAGTGCGGAATACATCGGGTTCCAATATGGTCTTGAGGTATTTGGTGGTATTTGGTGTAGCATACGTTGCCAAGGTCATAGGATCCCTGGTAGTACTTGGCGTTGCCGATTACCTGCTTTTCCACATGGATGCTGGGTCCTCTCCTCGTTTTGAAGAAGTTCTCCGTCATTGTTGATGACAACCTGATTCCCCCGAAGAACGAAATCTCCTTCTGGAAACCTGGATTCTCATTGAAGATGATCATCGCCTCGTGTAAAAACTT